GTTTGCGGTGGGTGGTGATGACTAGCTGCCTTCCCTCTAGTCTTACACTGCTAAATTAGGGACGGCTTTGCGCAAAATTCAAAACAAACAAATAGATAACTTTAAACCATTTTAACAAAGAAGTCCTAACTTCAGTATTGTACAACTTTTTAATTAAAATAGAGTGGTTCGATGTATCAAAGGCCTTTGATAAATCTAAAAATAAAAATATTATTATTATTGTACCATCATTTAACCAACACTGATTTTTTTTGCAACAATGTTATTTCTTTCTGAAATTTAATTAAAATATTAACCACGCATTATTTCCGTTATTTTCTCTATACCCTAGCAAGATCGCAATACCGTACTTTTTACCTGACTTGTTGTAAAGTTCTTAACTCTATTGATGCTTCATAACTTTCATTAATTTCATTTTAAAATTTAGCTAATAACGTGAGATAATGTAAAATTATAGCTTTTTAAATCATGAATGTTATCAATTCCTGGTTTTTTTAACATTCATAGTAACCAGTATTCATATAACACCTATATAAGTTATTAGAGAAGATACAGTGTTGGAAAATTTTGGTATATGATCGTTATTTCTTGAAAGAAATGATATTTAAATCAAGTTCAGAACCAACATTTTAGGCCAGTTTCTGTACGAAATACCAGAACATGAAGGTTCTCTATAACATACAATAACACCACTGTCACCTAATTCCATTGCTTCGAATATTCAAACGTAACACTCCTATAGACTAATTCGAAAACTCCAAATTTCTTTACAAAACCCACTCTTTCAAATTAGATACCGTTGAATGGTCAATTTCTGGAATAAAATTATATTAATTTGAATTCATTTTCTTAAATAATTCCTTTCAATTGGATGAATATCATTCCCAGTGTTGTTCTCCCCTCTTCATTATTTTTAATAAAAATTTTACTTTTCGGCAACATAAACTTGTACGTGTTTTCTCTTTTTTTTAATTTTATATTTTCCCAGAATATATTTTCATTAGCACTAGTAAAATTCTTATATGAATTTTTTTGTTTTCTGATATTTTTCATTATATCTGCACTAAGCGATCTAACTTTTATTTATCCATAGTTGTTTCTCTTTAAACCTTACAATTATGGGTGGTAGTTTTTGTTTACTACTTACTAGTAGTCTATATACATTTTCCATTAGTTTTTGTTTACTACTTACTAGTAGTCTATATAATTTTCCAGTTGTTTCTGTTTTCAATTCTTAGTTATTCAGTTATATTACCCGAGATCTTGATTAAATCCCCTTTCTCTTGAGACTGTAATAGTAGTAATTCCATGCGATTAAGTATTTGGATTTCTTTCCCATTGTTCGGATACAATTGTTTGTAGCTTTAGCGATATGATTATTTTATCCTTTTCCTTAACTTTGCATTATAAGTTCACTTATTTGAATATCTAATTGGTGGTTAGTTTTCTTAAAATTGTGTATTTTAATAATAATTTCATCACAAGGCAAAGAACATGGATTTTACAGATTTTCTTGTTTTTCAATTCACTTATTTCCATTTTCAAATTGGACAGTATGCTTAGTTTGGCATTAATCTGCAAAAAATATCTGCTGTTGTCACTGATCTTATCATCTGCCATTCAATATTTGCTGTCATACCATTTGTTACTTCATTTTGATTAGTGACCTTTGTTGTTTTGTTTTTAATCACCTGTGCCTTTATGGAACGTAAAACAGTTTCTTCATTAGCAGGTCGGGCGGGCTTCATTAGAATATTTAAGGGTTTCACACCAATTAAATTAATATATTTATATTTTATGCAATTAAAACACTTTCGATGTAATGTATTATTCATATGTCAGTAATTTACTTCTGTTACAGTAGTACATTCAAAACGAAACTTTCTTTAATATTGAATATAATCTAAATCATTATGAAGACTATCCTGACAATACTAACCAGTACACTAATGTTTTGTTTATTTATATTTTCAGTTACTAATCTGCCAACGCAATATTAATCTTGGCATTTTTTTTTTGGAAAATCAAGACGAAGCGAAAATGTACTGCACAGGTTCTTTTTTTTTTTCAATTACATATCCTTATTTGCATCACTTAAAGTATCTGCTGGTTTCATGGATAAACTATCATTATTGCTTGCGTTCTTTTGTACTGTTTTAACAAAAACATGATATCCCCTGATATTCGAACCAATTTACCACCTAACGGGAGACTAATGAACCAATGAAAATAAACAGTAAAATGTTTTCCATCAAGCTAGCATTACAGGATGCAATTAATTTGTTATCTACATGTACGTAATCCACTCGTTGCCTGGTAACTCCTGTGTCGTTCGTCGTATGGTTAATACCGCCATCTTACGACCAATTATGAAATTATAAATAAAATAATTGTTAAACTACTTAAGTGAAAATGATTAAGGTTGATTAAAGTTAATAAATAAAGTTCTAGGGAACCTAGTAGTCCTTCTCTGGAGTTAGTTAGTGAGTTGCAGTTCCTGTTTTAGAATCCAGTGTTCAGATGCTGTAAATGTTTAGGCTTAATAAGTCATGTTCCTGTTGTAGCCTTTGAATATTTATTTTTTAGAGTTCAGTTAAAGTAAGATCATTTACCTGGGTGCAATTAAGTCTTTGAATCATTTGTTAATCCCAAATAAATCCAGTTGAATCTCTAATGCATAACATGAAAATATAATTAAATACCAAAATATGAAGACGTTGTAAAGCATGTTGAAATCAATAACAAATAGGATTATTGTGAGTCATGAGTAAAGAAATGAACATTTAGAAACATGTCTTATCAGGCAGGCAGGCGGTAGCACTGCCTACGTAGGGATGGCTCGTATTATTCATCGAAATGGTATTTTAAATATCTCCTCAATAGGTCATCAGAACTTTACAATACTATACAGTGTTTCCTTTTATAACAATATCTATGTAATGACTGAGTCACAAGTTCTAGGAATGTCTGTAAATATTATAGCAAAAAGTTTGAATTTTTTGTTCTTCTTTCTTCTGTTTCTTTTTTATTACATGATAACTCAAAAACCAATTTTACTGAGGTGACATACTTTCAAACGGACTATCTACTTTTATAAGTATTATTAATAATTAGTAGTAATTTGAAAAATCATAATTCTAGTATAAACGATGTTATCATTACCCCTTGAAGTTAGCTTTATTACAGAAATGTGGTGTTCTTTGAAAAGTTTAAATGCAGGATGAAACAGAAATTACCAACCAATAATAGATAAACAATAAATATTACAGTTGGAACCTCACTGTATTTAAAATTTGGTTATAAATACAACTTTCCTATGTCTATTGACACATTGCATTAAAAAACAAGCAAACAAGTAAAAAAAACTTTCAAAAAAGGAATTTAACGTAGGGATGGCTAATATCAACCCTTCAAAAGCAATGCAAACAAGATAGTAGGAATGACACTTGTATCATTCCTATATAATAACACAGGCAAGAATTAACATATAGCAATATGTATAACTATTCAATCACAGTTGAGTTTAATTTATCCTATTTTTTTCTGTTAACGTTCTACAACACTCTATGCTTGTGTTATTATGTTGGGATGATGCAAATGCCATACCTATCATCTTGTTTGCATTGTTTTTGAAGGATTGATATTAGCCATCCCTACATTTAATTCTTTTTTTAAAAGTTTTTTCTTTACCTGTACAATATTTCTTTGGTAATGTCAAAAAAATATTTATCCAATCGTTAATGTTGGATGGCTAGAGCATGGCCTAGTATTGGGGATCCGTAGGCCTTTGTTTCAAGACGTGGTAATACCAACCACGATCCAGTCGCACTTTAAGTTGTGGATGCGTTATAAGTGTAACAGTCAGTCTCGCTATTGATTAAGAATAGCTGAACTCAACTAATTGCTTCCCTTCTGGTCCGCTGTTCGAATTTAGGTACAGATGTCAGCGTTATCTCTAACCAACCAGTTTAGCCTATTGTGTATATAAGGGTGAATATAAACAAAAAGCCTCAGTTTTGCTTTTACTGTTGGAAATAATGTATGATCCAAAAAGACGTTTTACAGGGGCGTAAAACCTGAGTTTTTTTTTCATTTTTTATTATATGGTAAACTGCTAATGCATCTGGAACTGAAAAAAGCAGCGGGGACGTAAAACCTCTGCTTAGCCAACTGAATTAAAGATAAAAATGTAATGTCAGCTCATTACTTCCACTGTTTAATCATGTAAAAATTAAATTTTCCACCATTTATCGTCCTAATTTCCTTACATTACTTAATGTTTTAAGTCTCTGTAAACACATTGTTGAAATTTACCAGGATTTTAAGTCTTGATAATCGTTTTCGAAAATTGATGGACTGATCCCCTAAACTGGTGTCATAGTCTAGTAAATATCTTTTGAGAACACACTATCCCACCTGTATTATGGGGGATTTCACAAGTTAAAAGCGTAAACAGCTTGAGAACGTGAGCCTTTCAAGTTTTTTTTTTGTAAAATATAGCTAGATCGATGTGTGTTTAGTTGCTTTCTGTTTTTATTACTACAAGAACAAAAAAAACTATACCCCAAAGTTTATTTTGTTATAGCAAAACACACACACACACTAATATGTAAAGTCAAATCCATTTTTATGCTTAGATCCTAATAATTATTATTTTTACCTTGCGTATTTTTATGTGTTTAACGTACCAGATTCGCCTTTTGACCATATTAACATTAGCAGCCTTTTTACGCCTACACTAACGTATCGTTTCCTTCGTGCATATAATAAATCTTTTCAAGCGTATAGTTCGCCAACTTTTCCAACAATACTCGTCGCGTCATAAAGTTCGTGACTCAGAAGAAATGTTATTTTGCATGTTAGGTCTTCTGTGTACAGTGTTGGCCTTGGTTTTGGCATCGAACACATCCAGGTTTCTTGGAATTCAACCAACATCTCGTTCTAGACACGTAAAACCATCATCTCGAAGCTGTGTCAGCAAAACCTTGAACGAAAGAAGTGTAACTAAATGTAACACATATATGTGGAGACTGTTTTCAAGGAAAATGGGCGTTGTAAAGATCATACATACATAGTTTAATGTCAGTGATCAGTTAGTTAAAATTTGTCTACTTAAACAAAAATAAATACCCTGTTCAACTGGTAAAACAGCTGAAGCAGGACCTTGTGAAAAGAAAATATATTAAAATATAGGCAACGTTTCATTCCAAGCTGAATCGAAGATGTTGTTTGCATGAGATTCAGTATATATGAATTATAAGAACAAAGGAAACATCAATTAATCTCGACTGCAACTACGGTTCTAATTATTTGTTACGACAGTTTGACCAGAGGAAGACTGAACATTTAGTCAACATCTTGTCTCTTCGTTCTGTATTCAGATTGTCTGTTTGTTGTTAAGCACAAAGCTACTCAAATTCGATATCTGTACTGTGCCCAACGCGGGTATCGAAACCAAATTTTTAGCGTTATAAGTCCTCAGGCTAACCGCTTGACGAAAAGAAAGCGATGTAAATAAAATGCTAAGCTAAATACTTATATGAGTTTTAAATGATAGTTAATATTTTCATTAGATTAAATAGTACATACCAGTCTTATCGATTTAATTTTTAGAGATTAATCTTAAAACCGTTAGTTCGGCTTAATTGAACTACGTAGCCCAATCCCTTGTGCATGGGCTATAATGAATTTAGCACTAAAATATTACTCGATGCAATGGTATCTAACCATAGAACTACCTAAATTAATGTTTATAAGCTGCACATTATTAAATTATACTTTGAAAAATCTGATAAATATTTTAACTTCTTTTGATACTGATCTGTTTTTTTGTTGTTGTTGTTTTGTCCTTGATTTGATAAAAATTTATATGTGTTGTAGTAGAAGTTATAATGGACTGTAATAGTTTCTACGGTCATGAACTAACACGTCAACTCAATAAAAGATCTAATTCCTAAGTTCACTTACATTTTATGAATTTATAAGCACTATTTTAATTTTATTTTGCCTTTTTTTGTTTTGAGAAATTAAACATAAATGTTTGTGTATTTTAGAATTTTCTCGCAAAGTTACACAAGGGTTATCTTTGATAAGCAGCAAACAGCATCCAGCACCAACTCCTGTCTGACCTGACCAAATAGTGAAATTTCACTGCTATTATTTCCACAGCGCATTCACAGCCCTAAATTGAGGGGCGCGATTTTGCAGCCAAGGGATGCAAACCATGAACATTCAGAATAACAGTGCGCGTACTCTAACCATTTGGTTAAACCCGCCCCAAATGAACCTAATACCCCAATTTTTGTCAGTGCACAAAGCTTAAGCTGTTTGAAGTAAATGGTTTTTGTCTTTTTTTTTGTACTGTTTCGTTTGAGAAGATAAATTAATTGCATCGTTTTCATGGTTAGTAGCTTATCCGATCACTTAAATCTAGTGATTAATTAGTTACAATTTTATTATTATTTATTAATATCTACAGTTTTTTCTTCAATTTGGGGCATTTTGGTGGGTAAATTTGGTATGTGAAGTAAGGGTCCAGTTGAGCACATCCACTGAAAATATGAAATGGTTTGGAATATCATAGTCCGAGATACACATTTCTGCTTTACACTCCTGTTAATAACACACGGTTTGTCCTGCAGGTTGTTTTGGCCGCACGGCACACTACCGTGTGTCTTGATTTATTTATATATATATATATGAATGTATACAGTATGGAAGGGGGGGGTTCCCAAATATGAACGATATTTGATGTTCTAGTAGAATTTTAACAATCTCTGTT